CTTTAAGGGCCGAACTGACCAGATTCAAGTTCCACGACAAATAGAACAAACACTTCCAAGTTAAAGAGAAAAGAGGACTTTTCACCACCGATAGTTTTTCAAACTCAAAACCCTGGTCTTAACAGTGTTTCTTCTTTTCTTTAAATACATGTATTACATACTTTAGTGTAAAATACTTTTTAGATTTTTTATATTTTGTGCAAAATTAACCAAAATTAATGTTTTAACACATTTTTCAAATACGGTATTTTTCACAACTTAAGAAGTCAAAATGGTCTGTTATAGATCATGATCAAATCCACTGTGACATAGGAAATATACCACTGTCTATTTCTGACATCTTTATTTCCTTTTTGGTAATACTAACACTATAATTATGACCAGAGCTCCAGATAATTTTTTTGGCCAAGGGGTTTTTACCCCTCAAAATTTAGAGTGAGGGGTAAAATGCAAATTCTGAAAAACTTAAGGGGTAAAATCTGTCAAAAAAGCATTTTGCATTTTTTATAAACAAATTAAACTTATTGTTGTGTTTGTTTGTTTGTTTATTTTCTTTTTTTTTAAGAAAAACCTTTACAAATTAAATACTGATTTAATGTGAAACAATACAAAACATGCCATGTAAAGTCAGACTTCCAGAGTATACTGGAACTCAAGTTTAGGATACACAGCAAAATTATCAGGGCTTCCATTTTCAAAATTTGGAAGTCAAAGACTTCAAAATCTCTGATATTGGAAGTCACATTATATAGGTAAAGAAGGAAAGTATTGATTTTCGGAAGTCACAGGCCAAATGAAGGAGTAAATGACTCCAAAACTTCCTCTAGTGGATGCCCTCAAGTTATTTTATTTTCTAGGAGTCAATATTTTTCTTTCTTTATTTTTGTTGGCATGTACCTTATCATGTACTCCAGTTTGAACAATTATAGTTGAAATTAGAATAAAAGAACATAAACAAGATTTTTTTATCTTTCCTTGAAAAAAGTCTTGGTCTGAGAGAAAATTGTCCGTAACTGTAGACTGGGTATGAAAATATTGAGTACAAAACTGCAGGTAAAAAACATGTTATTTTGTTCTAACAACAAAAGTTAAAGAAATTAAAATATATTTTTGTTTATATTGAGGCATAAGTATGTCAATAGATGCCTAAACAAACTTAATACTGTGTTAACTCCTACGATGATTATCTGGCACAAATTTCTTCAATAATTTCACAGGTTGATAGAGTTACCTCCCTTCTGTATTTCCTTTAACATGTGTTGTTGACAACAGAATTTTTAGTTTTCAATGCAATAAAATGGAAATATATTGTATTTTTATGCTCAAAACATTTTCTTTCTACATATCAAATGTTTACACTTCTATTCTTTTACGCATAAATTTTGACATACGAGCGTATTTTCATTTTGTTGTGCGTAACTGTGACGCACGAATTTTGAAAGTGATGCGTATTTTAGATTTTCTATGCGTATTTTACGCTTATACGCACGCTATCTGGAGCTCTGATTATGACACTGTTTTGTATACTGTACTATCACTTTTCCAGTCTTAAAGTTAGGCAATTGTTTTACTTTGTTAACCATGCAACTGTTTGTTGACTTTAAGCAAACGTTTTATTAATTGACATCAGGTTATACACTTAAACATGTGAAGGCTTAACTTTATCAAAGACCAGAAACGCTCTGATCGATGACCATCATAGAGGTCACCATTAACAGGTGTTGATTACCTATTTCAGAATTTTTCCTATTTTCCCACCTTATGTCATATATGTTATTTTTTTTTGTACATGTATGCATGTAATACAGTATGTGCATGAAGTGTGATAAATGGAGGTATTTTTTTATTTCATATAAAAAATTTAAAATATTATTTTCATCTATTTTCATTTCTTTTAGTTGTTCCTGCACAAGGGCGTAGCGCCCATTACGCACAATACGCAATTGCGTATAAAAAAAATCCGAAGGTAAAAAAATAAACTTGAGAAAATCTAAGTTTTAATGATTTTATTGCTATAGATCTAGATTTCCATTTCTGTTTTTACAAAATGTTTCCTTGCGTCATACTATTTACAAGTGTAAACTATGATTGTGTCACTCTATCGTATGACGTTTCTATTAATTATCGTAATATATGTGCCATAGGAATTTAAGTTTCTCGTTAACTCGAAGCATTTACAAACTTATTGCACAGAGATAAATGAAAAGCACATACAAAATAGGCTCACAATAACTTATCGTTGGTTAAATTCTCAGAAAATAAAGATTATTTAGACTTTTTATAAAGATTTTAACCAATCCTTTCAAAATCGTTTCCTTTGGTATAGCTCTATTTTAAAACGACGTATTTAAATCTTTTAAGTTCTAGTTCAACATTTTAAAAATCATCAACTCGGGGCAAAATTTAATTTCTGGTGTGTTGTTAATTGTCAAAGTGAAAAGAAACCTCCGTCAAATTCCAGGACAAGCGACCCTGTTTATGGTCCTAAAACAGGACCCTATTCAAGTCGATAATGAATCTGACCAGACAGAAACAAAACAGAATTCACAAGACCTGGCATGTGACCCTCCTGTGATCAACAAATCAGACGCCAATGTCGCGTCTCCTTCTCTCCTTTCTTCTTCTCCGTCCACCTCCTGCTCTTTGCCCCCCTCCCCCGCTTCTCCTCCCCTCGATCGAACTGCTAGAAGCTCCCTGTGACACGATTCCTGCATATCGGAAGTATTGATATCAGAAGCCGACTAAGAATGCCGGATTCTAAAAAAAATGTTGTCCTCACCGAAGGGTTCGAGCCACATACAAGTTGGGTTGCATCTGTCAGAGAACTCGAAAAAAAAGGGCAACAAGTAGGCGAGTGCCAGACTTTGTGTTTGAGCAAGAGAAGCACCCATCTACTTAAGGTACATCCCTTTATTTGATGGGGTATTTTGTGCTCCATGTTTTGTCTTTAATACGCCTGAAAATGTGCTTGTTGCTCGTCCGTTGATTGACTGGGGCAACGCAAGATAAGTCGTTGATGGGCACACACACTCAAAAGAACACATGAATTCCACCACAAGAGCCGACCACTTTGTACGCATCTGCAGGAAGGAAGAGCAGAATATGGTCGAGTCCGTATCAACGGCTTAATGGCAGAAAGTACAAAAGAACAGGGAGGCGTTAGCAGTCATCATTGAGGCCATATTTTTTGTGGGCAACAAAATATAATGTATATCTATACGAGTAAGTTCGTTACTTTCTCATCACCGCCTGAGGAAACCTATGGAGTGATCATTAGACCATTTAATATCTCGTTGTATCTGTTAATTTCCCTACTTTCTTACAATGGAATAGAAGTATTCTCAGAGTATATAATTTTTCTTGTGCATTTGGAAATAATACATACACTTGGATAAATAAGTCTGAAGGCTTAAGAGAAAAGCCGTTCTTACCAAACTGATTTGATGAGAAAAGCTAAAAAAAACTTGTTATCTGGTTTAATGCGTTTTACAATTGAACGGACATTCATACATATTTACCAATTTCATGATCTGCATCCTTAATCAAACTTCACATGGAAAAATTGTTGTGTATGTTTATATGCATGTGTAAAATAAGAAAACTAGAAAACTTGAGGCGTACACTGCCTTTTTTCTTCACAAATCTGTTCGAAGTTATAATGAAATAAGTTAAAAAGTAAAACGAGCAGCTATATGTTTATCAATTTATGGGGGGAAAATGACATAAAAATGCTTCATGCTTTACGTGCAAAAGGTGCTTCAAGACATGCCAGAGCCAACGATTTAACATCTAATTTTTCAAAATTTTCCGGGGGAGACCCCCGTACCCCCACCAGCGGGAGGGGGACACCACACCCCCTCCCGCACGCTCCCCCTCTCGACACTTCGTGCCTCGCTTTGCGTATAATTTATCAACCCCTAGCTACGCCCCTGCTGCATTTCAAACAGATTTTTTTTGTCTCCCCTGTTTACAGTTTGATTCAATTACAATTAAGTTTAAACTGTTCAAAATAATCTAAAAAGATAAATTGATCAATCTAAATGAAATATAACATTTTTGTTCTCTTTGGCTAATTTATTGATATCAAATACAACATTATAAATGCCATTTCTTACTGAAAACTAACTTGAGCATACAAAACTATTATAAAAAACAATTAGGATATTTTTTTGAAAACTGTCCTAAAAGTTATTAACTTTATTATGTTTATTAAATACTGTCTCAATTAAATACTAAGAATATTTATTAACAGTTTATCTGCTATAGATTTAATTTGATATAAATGGGATTTATCACATGTCACATTATGCCTTGATGACACATGAATTTGCCCCTGTTGTCTTTGACAAAATTATTGACATCACTTACTAGAGATAATCCAATCAGTTGACCAATCAAGCTATTACAACTTATTACCTCGTCCAAACATTTGACCAATCAAATTAACAGTCATAGGTCATGTCAAACAAACTGATTAGACCATTTATAGTACCCTATCAAAAATGATCCAGGATGTCATCAAAGAAGATCTCTACTTTCATTTTTACAGCAAATATGTGACCCAAAATACGGACACATTCATAATGCATGTTTCGTAATTTATTGATCCCTTACATCATCGAAACCTTTTACTTTTAGGTTGATACAAGACTGAAGGTTAATGTTATTTTTGTAGTCTAAACACATGAAAAATGGGTCATAGGATATTCGTCGATACATGACATGTAAAAAAAAATGCTCCAGCACTTTAATTTCCAAGTTAGTCGACAGTTTCTGAAGAAAAACAGAAAAGAATTTAAGGCACTAATTGTTATTTTAATTCAGATCGTCTGATGAAAATAATATGCTGATTGCATCCTGTCGATATTTACGTAGATGTTTCATTTTTGCCGCCATTTCCGTTTCATACTGAAACAGACGACGTCGAACAAATTATTATTTACAATCGCTAGGACAGGTTATACCCGACCATGAAGTCATAATTTGCTATAAATACTTACACTCTATCTTTCTTTGAACATCCAGAAGCGTTTCAATGGAGATCAATGTAAGGATAGAGCAGGAATATAGCAAATTTTATATGATCCAAAATAACTGATATGTCGTCCCCTTTACAAAAGAAATCAATGGAATGCGTTACGCGATGAAGGTTGATTCTAGTTTACGACTGTTTACAATGCGTCATTTTAAACGAAATAATATACTAGCAATAAGCTCGCACGAGTTGTTCCCCTTCGTAAACAACACCCCATCTAAATTTAGTTTAATTTTAATAAATTCAATCACTATTCACACCATTTTAATTGGAAGTGAAAATACTATCGTCAGATACCTTTTCGTCTATAATGAACTGTAGATGCTTCAACAACATGTGAAGCAAAGAATTGGTGTCATAATTTTCATACTGTATACTTGCTTGAAAATTATATTCGTAAAAAGTTTATTTTCTCAAAATTTTCAACTCGTTATAACATTTAGATCTATAAATCAAAATCTGTAATGAAAAGCTTTGACCACTCAACTTGAAATTTTAAAACTGGCTTTAAATTATTCTGCAAAATTATTATTTCAAAAATCAAATAACTCATTCTCCTGTACGGCATGATTTTCTAAACCCCTAAATTTAGATTATAATAGCACGGATTTATATTACATGTAATATAAATCCGTGATAATAGATACCTCTTTATGTAATAGATATACCATTGCTGCGTTGACGATTTCTGGGTTTGCGTAAATTATACCATAATCACGTGACCTTTCTTATGCCTTAACCTCACGAGACAAAGTCGAGTGAGGTTGCATAAGAAAGGTCACGTGATTATGGTATAATTTAAGCAAACCCAGAAATCGTCAACGCACCAATGGTGTATCTGTTTTAACATATGTTAACCCAGTGTGGCAATACCACGTGACATTGACGTCATTTTCGGCATCATTTCCAAGACAAATGTTGCTCGATTCGGAAAAGAAAATAGCCGTAAATATTTTATTTCTGAACCAATTTTTTTGGGATATGCACCAGTCTACGGGGAAAATTATAAGCTTTCCACAGAATATTGGATCTTTGTCAGTTTATAAGCCGTTTTATCAAACACTTTGCATAACCTTGGAAGTTGCTTGTATTAGAGCGGAATTCAGTTGCAAGCTATTTCGTTTTCTTGCGTTATCTGGTCTACGTCATGATTAAAAAGTCAGGTTTACACCAACCGGGAGTACGGAAGGCAAAACTATACCTAAATATGTTCATATTTTTATTATGAATGACATAAATCTTAAATTTTTCTTCAATTGTCAATTCTGGCACCAGTTCCAAGTCGAAAAAAAAAGGACTACAGTTTAAAGCAGATTTTAGAATCCGTTGCAAATGCAAAGGAACATGCTTACCGTTCTCTTTCTATAATTATGTTAACCATGAAAAACAGTGTATTTACTATACGATTTACATAAACACAAATGAATATTTAAATGATTTTTACTCGCTGCGCTAAAAGTGATTTTAAAAGTCGTAAAATTGTTGTCTGCATTTGTAAAGAAATTGATTTGCTCTTTAATCATTGTTCTTTCACGGTAATGATTATGAAAAATCTATTTGTGTCATGTAGCAATACTAAACGTGGAATTGAAAACAAAAACCCTAAATATCGCCAAAAACGGCAAAATTGAAAATGTTGCAGGCTCAGATTGACTAAGCTAGTCTGTCCAATGAACGTGTATGACAGAACACAGTGGCACTCGTTGATAAAAATGTTTTTACATCCTGTTTTCATACCCACGGTAACCGTTTTTCGTGAACTGGATATAACTTCGTTCACTTAAGAACACAATTAAACACACTATTAAACACTATCTATTTTATAATTGCATTTATTTCTGTTGATAAACTGCATATCTGACAAATTTAGTTAATTATATCAGTCAACTCAGCTTTATCAGAGAGCTCACCAATATACATTGTAAAGAGAGGAAGGGAACGGAATATTTATGGTTTGAACACATTTAAATCGAGTAGAACTTTTTAACAATAATGTCTCTTTCAACTGAATAAAAACGATAGGGCTATTTGGGACTATTTCTTATCGATGTGGTCATTGGCTATAAATGCATGAATTATTGCACGCGGCGTGACCTGCAGATGTCCTCAACAGGCTTTTTGTAGCATTCTAAGATATAAAAAAGGACCATACATTAAAATCTAAAACATGATAAACATGACGCATATACTAAATAAGTGAATCATCTGATATGTAAATAAAGAAGTAAGTCATTTGACAGTTGAAGTATAAAAATTGAATATACTCTTCAAATGTAATCGTAATTTTACTAAGCTTATGTTAGCTATCAATTACAGTAAAAACCCTCAATTAAGACCACCATCGGGACTGGACCAAAGTGGTCTTAATTGCGGGGTGGTCTTAATTGTGAATATTCTTATCAATGCTTACACACTTTTTGACCATGTATTCAATGGACGCATCAATGGCATATGGACCCTGTCGGACCGTATTTGGTACAAAAACGAATATGGTACAAATTTGTACCATATTCGGCCGAATATGGTACAACTGTCTAATTGTACCATATACGTATCTGCAGTTTTGGGGTAAAATGCCTGACCAAATATGGTACAAACTTGTACCATATTCGGATGAAAAATGTACCACATTCGTTCCGAATATGGTACACACTCATCATCGTCATCATCATCATCATCATCATCATCATCGTTATCTCATCATCATCACCATCATCATCATCATCATCATCACCATCACCATCATCATCACCATCATCATCATCATCATCATCATCATAACTACAATTTGCATCAACGTCTTCAATACCATCATGAAAATAATCATCATCGTCATCTCATCATCATCATCATCATCATCAGCATCATCATCATCATCATAATCATCATCATCGGCGGCCGGTAATCATTGGCGTCAACATAATAAAAAACTTTTTTCATCATCATCATTATAATCATTATCATCGGCCGATAAACATCGCAGTTATCATCATCACAATCATCAAACCCCAATCATCATCACCATTGTCATCATCATCAATTACATCAAAGAAAAAATCGGAAACTTCAAAGCTTTGTCGGCTTCTCAGCAATATGACGTCGGAACGACAAATCAACTTTACAAAGTAAGGCCAAATAAAACATTATGTCTGGTTCCGGTGACATGCCCCCAAAAAGTAGGTAGGGTAGGTCGGCATTTCTTTTTATTTTATTTATTTATTTATTTTTACTGATGCTGAGTGAAAGGTGATATAATAACGTTATTTTAATGTATATTTTGTGTGATTAAAGTCTTCTGTGCGTGCAACACTAAGCTTTTTATGTACTGTAAACATGCATAGTGTGCAAGCTGGAGGAGTTTTTTATGCACATTTAACCCTATAGGTTTAATAATTGTTTCTTTCTGTACGTGTTATATTTTGAAAATATAATTCGCTATAAACGAGACCATTTTCGGTGCTTGCTATGACTAGTACAGTATTTATGCAATTATATGGCAAAATCATGGGTTGTAGAACATTTTAAATTGACTGAATATCAGCGTAAAAAGAAGTCGCAGGGAATGCTTTACGTTGAATGCTTTAGTGCTGTGCAAATTCGTACATTTATTTAAAAATATGAGGTTTTGATTCGAACCTTGCCACAAGATCTAGAGGGGACTGGTAATAAACCCAGTAAATAAAAGACTGTTTCATCTAAAACTCATACTGTGCTATTTCAGTCTTTAAATCAAATGGTTTTGGGTTTGATAGTTCATTATATTAAAGCTAACAACTCCTGTTCCAGAAAATAACCAACACTCTAACGCACACATCTGCTTACCAACCAAAAAAGATTGAATATCCAATGTTTCAAATTCAAATAATTGACACATACAATGTATTTCTATTTTCAAAATTTACTTTCCCTTAATCAAGACAACATATTATAGATTCAAAACTTAAACTAAAATTATTAAGTTTTGTTTTATTTTTAGAATGTTTACATGAACGCTTTAAAAACGTTCTTTACAATTCTCTTGAATATTGAGTAAAAAATCGGACCAATTTTTTCGTATTCAAATAAAAAAAAGTTTAGGGTCGGGCGAAAAAAATAGGTAGGGTCGGGTCACCGGAACCAGACAATTTTTTTCTTTTCGCCTAATGTTTAGGAATACAGTCACACCTGTCTAAAGCAGCCAGTCAAACATCCTTATTTTTGGAGAGATATATTCATTTAAAAGAGCTCAAAATCTCTTAAATCGTGTTTTGGTGAAAATACACTTTCGAAAAAAAAAGTTTTGAAAATTTGAAAATTGCTATTAATGATCTTGTGAATTGTTTGGGTCAATCTAAAACTACTGACCAAAGGATATTGAATTATATCGAAGAAATTCTATCGTAAAACAACTGCAAATGCATGAAATATGAATTTCGTTAGTTATTTTTTCGGCCCAATTTCTTGTTTATTTTTCGGATTTTCTCATGCAATATTTTCTTGTCAGAAGTTTTAGATTGACCCAAACAATGCACGAAATCATTAATATGGCTGACGCGACGTCATTCGACCAATCGAATGCGACGTCGACATTCCTGCAACGACGTTTGCTTAAAGCAATCATATCTGGACAAAACCTACCAATTATTATTAAAATGTATTAAAATATAAGCATTAATACCGAGGGGTATTAAACGATCAAATTTTCCAAGAAGCGCTGGCGCGCTTCATGGATTTGCTCGCCTACCTTTACCCTTACAAGTTCACACTCTATGAACATAACCAAAATGCGATAATCCTCAAACTTTTACAGAGTTACCTGGAGCAAGCACGTCTCTAGTCTTAGAGTACTAGTACTTAGTAACCAGTACTAAGCAGATACATTCGCCAGTAATTGACAACTGCCCTACTTGAAACAGCGGTAGGGGGAAGAATGGCCGTAGAAATCATTTCGTGACCAATCTCCACGAAAGTATCTGGCCCGCCCGGGAATCGAACCCAGGCCGCCTGCGTGCCAATCTGACGCGCAACCGACTGAGCTAGCCGGCGAAACAGTTACACAACCAGCAAAATCCATGTAAAGTGTGGTTAGGTTAGCTGTTTCTGTTACTGCTAGTTACGACGACGACGACGACGACGACGACGACG